CCCCCTTTGTGTTTTGGGCCATGTACTTGGAGGGTTTCCTGCTGGCCTCTTTCACTTTGGGGCTGGTGTGTGGTGGCCTGTTGGTTTGGGTCCTGGTGCGGCCAAAGGTGGCGGCAGGTGGCTTGACGCCTCATTTGTTGGGGCCGCAGGATTTCGCAGGATTGAACTATGGCGGCACGAAGTCTCTTGCCAACAGACACGGAGCTGGCCACCTTCGATCACATTGAACGGGTTGTGCATTGGGTCGGTCTTGAGCGTGGTGTGTGGGATGCCTTTGATGCCACCTTGGGCGGTCGTACGACCCTTCGTTTGATTGCCACACTGCCTATTGGTACCTTGCATACAGCCACCTCGCGCACTCGAATTCCTGCTACTGCGACCTTGCCTGAACGTGAACTGTATGCAGTAGAGATCATTCAGGTTGCATTGGTTTGGCGTGCTGCGAGGAAGGTCTTTGGACTCCCTGATGTAGATCCTTTAGTGGAAGATCCCACAGTGGCAAGACCGGTCACGTCGAACACTGAGGCACCTACAGCCAAGAAGGTGAAAATGTCATCCGCCGTTGATCAACTGGATGAAACTGAGGTGTCTCTCCTGTCGACAGCAGATGTTGACCAGGCATACAGAAACTACCGTGAAGCAGTAGGTGCTGATCCTTTGCCTGAGTCCGATCCGACCGTTGAGCAGATAACGGCGATGCATGCAAAAGTTCTGGTCAGGCAGGAAGCTCCATACGCCGACTTTTCGGTCCTCACGCCATATGGCCGCAGGATGCAGAAGCAGTCGAAGGCTCGTAATTTCCTGCTCCAGCAGGACGGTTCTTGGAAATCTGTTGAGATACCTGGACCGCCAAGTTTCCAAGCTTGGTGTGCCTGCTGGAAGATTTACAAGACTGTCCTGCTAATGCTGAAGCACCCGGAGAACACAGCATTGGGCAGGCCTTCGATTCCAGTCACGACAGTTGCTGCACTGGAGGAGTACTTCAACAGAGTGTCAGATCTGCATGAAGAATTCCCGGAGGCATGGCACTTAGTCATGCAGGCTGAAGATCGATGCCGAGGAGAGCAATTTGACCGGATCCACCGAGAGCTGACTCGGGCCAGGGCGGAAGGTCGGTTGCCTATGAGCCTGGATTTCGATCCTTTCAGACCTTGGGTTGGGGTCATGCAGTACGCGGCTCGCTGCCAGGAATACTGGGACAGAACAGTGATCAGGCCCGCGCAAACATTCTTGGCCAGAGGTGGAGCTTCGTCGGCTAGTGGACGGCAGATGACGCAGAAGGAGGCAGAGGAGTCGCAGGTCAGTAATGCTGCGTCCGCGGCCATGCATAGAGCCCCAGGTGAAGGAACTTCGAAGACTGCCAAGAGGCGCCAGAGGGACAAAGCCAAGATTGAAAGGTTGCGAGAGGACAATCGCCGTCCTGGTTGCAGAGCACTGGAAAAGGAGGCTCAGGTTCGGCATCGGGTGGAGACGGTGATGGTCATCCCAGGAGAGCAGGTCGAGAGTTCCAGACTGATCGTGAAGGAAATCAGATCTGCTTCACCTTTGCGAAAGGACCAGTCGGATCTTGCAGTGAGCCTTGTCCACAACAGAGGACGCATTGCTGCCAGTTTTGCCTTGGCTCCCATCCAAACGCCCAATGCCAGCAGAAGGGCGGTGGAAAGGGGAAGGGCAAGAAGGGCAACAAGAAGTGACAGAAGGATGATCCCCTGCCTGTGCAAGAAGCTGGAGCGGGGGAAGATGCATGGATGAATTTGGAGCCAATGGAGCATGAATTTGATTTGAGCCAGGTACAGCGCCCATTTAGATTTGGCGAGTTCTTCGCTGGCTTTGCAGGTTTCACAAGAACGCTTGAGGAGCTAGGTGGTACTTTAGTCGAGACGACGAATCCACAAGACCACTACGAAGGATGGGACATCCTCACAGACGAAGGCTTAGAGCAAGGCTTGTCGGTGTGTGAGACTCTGGACCACGGCCACTTTGCCCCTCCTTGCAAGACGTTCACCAAGGCCAGACGCTCTGACAAGTTTGGAGTGGTGAAGGTCTTGAGGTCGGAGGCATACCCAGAAGGCTGGGGGGAACCCGAGGCGGAAGAGGCCAACCGGATTGTGGCTAGAATGGTGCAGATGATTTTGGTCCTGGTCAGACGGGGCAGAACTTTCGCCATTGAGAACCCATGGCATTCCTTTTTATGGTCGCTCAGGGCTATGGCTGTTCTGTTCAAGATGGCTGGAGTTGAGCTGGTCTTGTTGCATCAATGTGCATACGGTGCAGTCACACAGAAAGCCACTGGGATACTCACCAATGCAGCTTGGATGAAGAAGGTATGTGCCTGCTGTCATCAGGTGCGGGAACACTACCATCTGAAAGGTGGCTTAGTTGGTCTGGTATGGTCGTATGCTGACCAGCAGATGGTCTGGCGTACGTCCCTTGCAGCGGAGTATCCTTGTGGCCTGACCGTAGCTTGGTCGAAGGAGTTGTTGAAGTGGATGCACAGTCCTGAAGGATTGCAGTGGATGAAGTCACGAAGCTACGTCCTGGTTGGAAAGTGGCAGAACACATTGGTGCTCGCTGGAGCTGTCGCTAAGAAAGCCAAGAAGGCGAGCAGCCAGAGGAGTGAGACGCTGCTTGAGAGAAGAGAAAGGGAGAACAATGAAGCAATTGGAGGATTGCGGAACTCGAAGAGGGCTGTCGCTCGGTCAACAAGGCTGCGCAATGTGGGTGAGCGGTTGCGGCTGGTTGTCGACCGCTGGATCAGTGCTGAGTTGGTGCAACAGTTAGAGCAGGACTTGAGTGCTGGCATTACTAAGGAGCAGGTGTGGCAGCTGAGGCAGAGTTTGGCGGCTGAGTTCAAAGTAGACAGCGAAGCAGACGGGTGGCCTGTCGCTCTTTGGGAGGCTATCCTTTGTGAAGCTGCCGACCCGGAGATGCGGATCCTACCACGGTGGATGAGGGAAGGCTTTCCTTTGGGGATCATGACGCACATTGAGCATAGCAATGTTTTCCCCCAGACGCATGAAGACACAGCCGCCGTGGAAGCGTCCAGGCTAGAGGGTGAGGTCCTTCAGGACTACATGGAGGACATCGTGAACTACAAGAGCTTCTTGGATGAATCGAGCAAAGCGCAAGAGCTCTTGGACCACATGGTCGAGAAAGATCGAGCTGAGGTTTTCACCACTTGGCAGGAAGTGGTGGAGAGGTTTGGCCAAGGGGCCAGACTAACCAAGGCGGGCTGCCTGGTAAAGACCAAAGAAGACGGCGCAGTCAAGGCAAGGTTGATTTTTGATGGAAGGCGGTCAGGAGTCAATGGACTGATAGTCTGCAGAGAGAGGGTCAACTTGCCGAGAATCAGCGATGTGGTCACAGGCATGAAACAGCTGTTGAGCAACAACCAGTCCGCTGCAGAGTCAGGGCAGGTATACATTGAGATGTTTGCACTGGACTTCAAGGATGCTTTCAACTTGCTACAGCTGAGAGAGGATGAGCGAGGCTTTGTAGTTATGAAAGGGCTCAACGATGAATGGGGGGCGTCCACGGTACTATGTCAGTAAGTGCATTGTTTTTGGAGTGGCTACTGGACCTCTCATTTGGTCTAGATTGGCGGCTGCAGCCATGAGGGTGACGCAAGCAGCCCTCCTGTCGTACGAGACGGATGTCAACTGCTATATCGATGACCCGCTGGTGATGTCCGTAGCTGCTTCACACCAGGAGCATACCCGACGCTTGTTGGTGTATGTAGGGCTGTGGACGGCCTTGGGACTCGAGATCTCGTGGCACAAAGTGGTGAGAGGCCGGAGCTTGAACTGGATTGGGTTCAGTCTTGAACTTTGTGGCCCGCAAGGGCTGGATCTGCTGGTGGCAGATGCGAAGAAGGCCAAGCTGCTTGACACGTTGGAAGAACTGCGAAGCTGCAGAGGTGTGATGCCTATCCGTTTGTTGCGGTATGCAGTCGGAGTTCTTGGATGGCTTTCATCAGCAGTGCCAGCAGCTCGCCCATGGTTGTCAATGATTTGGGCGGCCATCACTGGAGCACGTGAGCCAGTGAAGGAGAGCACACGTCGTCGAAAAGGTCTCATCTTTGTGCGTCAAGTCGACAATGCCCTACGCTGGCTGCATGCATTGTTGCACCTGCATCACAATTGGGTGGGCTTATACAAGGTGCACAAATGGAGACCTTATGCAGCCACAGCTTTGGTGCAGACTGATGCCTCACCCTTTGGCATTGGAGGAGTCCTGATGGTCTCAGGGCAGACAGTGTCATATTTTGATGAAGAGCTGCAGACCACCGACTTCAGCTTGTTTGGCTCTGAACGGGGAGATCCAGCTTACCAGTCAGAGTACGAGTTGCTGGCGGTCTTGGTGGCCCTGCGAGTGTTTGCCCGAAAGATCTCTCAAATTGGGGCCCTGCGAGTGGTGCTGCGAGGTGACAACACGTCCACCTTGCACGCAGCATTGACTTACAAAGCAGGTAGTCCCATCATGACACAGCTGGCGGCTGAGATCTTTTTGGAGGTGGAATACCAAGGCTTAGTGGCCATCGTTCCACAGCATTTACCTGGCACGTTGAACGTGATTCCTGACAAGCTTAGTCGGCTGCATGTGGAAGAAGTGCCGCGGCAATTGGCAAATGTGCAGAGGCTGAAGGTCCCGAAAAGGGACATGAACTTTTACCGCGCATGGCCGAATAGGTCGTGAAGAAAAGGACGCTCCCTGTTTTCAGTTTTGGCGACAAGGTCAGATGGCTAGATGGGGGCCAAAACTGCTGGAAACCTTGTCTAGAGCTTTCTGGTAAGTTTTCAGTTTGCGTATCCTAACAAGAGTCGGCTTAGTTGGCTTTACAGAGGAGGGCCCTTAGTTGGGGCCCTCCTCTAGCTCAAGCAGCTTTGTTGGCTGCTGGGGGCCAAAACTGCTGGAAACCTTGTCTAGAGCTTTCTGGTAAGTTTTCAGTTTGCGTCTCCTAACAAGAGTCGGCTTAGTTGGCCTTACAGAGGAGGGCCCTTAGTTGGGGCCCTCCTCTAGCTCAAGCAGCTTTGTTGGCTGCTGGAGCGCTGGAAACCTTGTCTAGAGCTTTCTGGTAAGTTTTCAGTTTGCGTATCCTAACAAGAGTCGGCTTAGTTGGCCTTACAGAGGAGGGCCCTTAGTTGGGGCCCTCCTCTAGCTCAAGCAGCTTTGTTGGCTGCTGGAGCCTTCCCTTTGGCTTAGTTGGCCGATCAGACGGCTTAGTGGACTGTCTGGTCTACTGTTTAGGCCTTTGTTGAGTAAGAGCGATCATCGGACTGTTAGCCAGGCATGCTCAAAAACTGGACGCGTAACCCTTATGGCAAGGGTGCACGTGCTCCGTGGGTCCCACCGGAGGCCGTTGAAGAGTTGCCACCGGGGGTGATCGCCGCTCGAGCTCGTTTGGGATGGCCCTCCAAATCGGAGGAATCAGCGAGGTCGAGGACGCCAGACCGAAGTCGAGATAGGAGCCCTTTGAAGGGGACGATTGCATGCCAAGTAATTAGTGCATCTGAAGTGTGCCAACTAAAGAAGTCGGAGAAGTTTCAGTTTGAGGAGTGTCGCCTGGTACTTCACAGTGGTGAGGTGCTGACGAAGACTAGGCAAGATGCTCCGTGGACTCCGACGGTCGGGAGAAGCGGGGCTCGCCGTGGTCAGTTGCACCTGGCTAGGGAGATATCAAAAGACGATAGAAAGCGGCAGGAAGCGCTGCAGGCCTATGATGCTTTGGTGTTTGCTGCCGGTACCAATCTCTCCAAGGAGTCTCTCTTTAGCACGTGGTGCAAGATTAGTCGGGCACGAGGGGAAGAGCCGCTGCCGTTAGATCCTGAGAAGATTCGCCTCAATGTGGCAATTTTGCGATGCTCTGGTTATCGTGCGGTCAAGAGTTATGTGTATGAAGCTCGTGATCGACATGTGAGAGCCGGGTTTCCGGTTTCGCCCCAACTCAATGTGGCCGTCCAGGATGCCAAGAGGGTGGCAGAAAGGGCTTTGGGTCCGGTTCAAAGAGCTGAAGAGGTCAAACCGGCCTGGTGGAATGGCTTCATGGAGGAGCGCGGCGTGATGGTCGAGGATAACGAGGCCAGTCAGGAGACCCCAAACGCTGGCCTTCTGACCTGGGTGGTTGGTACGCTCTTTGTATTGCGTGAGGTTGAGCTGAGTGGCCTCACTTTGGATGCGAGGTGTGTCCAACTGGAGACCAAAGACAAAGTGGTGACCCTGTCTTTGCCAGTCAGTAAAAGTGACCCCGGAGGGCGGGGAGCGAAACGCTCTTTGGGATGCACTTGCAAAGGAAGAAATGACTTCTTTTGCCCTTTTCACGTCGTAGAGCGAATTGTGCAAGAGCAATGCTGTAGACTGCACGTGAATGACAGAGGCGGGCTGACAGACAAGCTACCACTGATCGGGCAACGAGGCGACCCAAGGTATTTTGTCGACAAAAGAACTATGGTGACCGAAGCTCAGAGACACGTCGAATTGATGCAAGATGTTGGATTTGCAAAGGAATGCGACAGAACCCGAATCACGGGACACTTCATGAGAAGGAGCGGCATCAAGGAGATGGCTAGGAATGGCTGTACATTCTCTTCGATCCAGTGGTTTGCGCGCCACTCCAGTCAAGTCACTTGGGCTTACATCGAAGAGGCATGGAGTGAGACACCTGCACACGCGCTGAAGCTCAAAGACGAAATTGAGCTGGCCGAGAGTGTAGCCTTTCTGCTCAGGAAAGTGAATCGATTGGAGGAAGCAGAAGACATGAGAGCGGATGAGGTTAAGCAAGGGCTCCAGAATGATGGCCTGTGGTTTGATAGTGAGGACGCAAGAAGAGCTATCAGAGAGGAAGCGCGAAAGGCCCTGTCACCTAAGTTTATAGTGAACGTTAATTCACAGACGATCCACGCTCCCTGTCACAGAATGGCTGTCAACACCGATCCAAGAAAATGGACCACCAAATGTGGATGGCCTTGGGTAAGCGGTGATTGTCCTTGCACTTTAATTTACGATGGTGACACAGTCAATCCAGCCCTGAAGAAGTGCCGGAAAT